TGATGAGTTTCATAATCACTGCGAAATATCTCACATTCAATGTCCTCTAGTTTTGATTCATTTGTCATCGAACTTTCATTCAAATTTTCATGTGATATTACTGTCATTTCTTGCACTTGTACTTTTTCATCATTTGATATCTGGATGAATTTGTTTGAATGTCTGTCCGCTTGTGATGTTTCTTTTCGTTGTTGTGGCGTTTGGTGGTTTGGGCAATAGCGTGTATTGACTTGTTTGATACCTGAAACGAAAGAAATAAGTGTAAAGAAGGCTTTAATAAGTGGAAAAATGGAAATTCGGACGATTCAGCTTGATGCCATATTTCTCGAGACTGAAAATTAGAAGAAAGAATCACTTTTATTTTAGACAGTTTTTCCTTGTCTGTCTAACAAAGTTTTGTCTGTAACAGAAACAAGAATGTACCATATTTTATAAGCCAAACGAAATATGTATACTCACTCACCATTTTTGATTGCTTTCATTGGAGTTCCACAACAGCCGACTAGTATTGGACCAAGTTCGGGAATACTAATGTCACAAATATTATCAAATGCACAGACCGATCGATTAGCTTTTTGATGCCCGTCAGAAATAAAAACTTGCGAACACGTATCAACTTTGCATTTTGTTAATCCCTTTTCGGTTAACACTTTATGTCACGACCAAAAACCGACGAATATTGAATAGAAAGCTTCGAAATATTTTGAAAAATATTGATCTTTCTCTACTTTTGAATCAAATGATGACGGTATGGGACAACAATTATTATCCGTTAGCATAAAAATGAATCGTCCGAGTTGATAAGTAAGCCAGTTCATTTGAAACAGTTTAGGATCCAATTTGTGTCTTTCATTCGTTGTCTTTTTTGTTGAAGATGAGTGACTATTGAGCATTTCAAGTTTGTAATTGTGCGCATCACAGAAACCGTTGAACGCTGCATAGTTGTGTACTAATTGTGCATCAAATTCAAGAAATAATAGATATTCATATGCAGTTTTTCCTCCAAAATACATTGCGTTTTTTTTTCGAATTGAGTCAATTGTAATAAATTTTATTTTTGAACCGTTTAGCTCATAAAATGTTGGAAAATAACGTGTTTTACATTCATTGCATGTAGAATAATATATACCGCATGAAGACGAAAAATCACGTTGCATTAATGTAACAATCTGGTGTAGTTTATGCGTCGGCAATGGCTGAGAATTACACTTTGCTTGAATACAAACAGCGGTAAAGGGGATTAAATTTACTAGTTTCATTGATATTACGATATCGTTATTGGCATTAAATGATTCGATTATTTCTTCAGCTGTAGCTGTATAAAATCGTTGTTTTAAGTCATCATTTTCATTTATAGTATCCAATACAAATAACACATCTTCAGCTTCATAGCCAGTTCCAAAATGATTATTAATTCCAGCGCAAACCAGTCTGTATACATCTTCCTGAGAATCGAATAAATAATTGTACAGCTTGAGCGCTGAGCATATATGGTTTCCATTCATTTTTGCTAATAACAGTTGGAAAATTTGTTCCATTTCAGACCGAGAGTTACCTCAATTGAAACAAAAACATTAAATAGCGACCAATAGAAAAGTTCATAAAACAGGCACTGCATATGCTGTTATTCAATGTTAAAACTGGTGAATGCTGCGGAACTCTTGATTTACACCTGAAAGAAACATTATCTTCAATAGACATGCTGGAAAACCTTCACAGCTCAGACAAAACTGCAACAGTGGAAGTAAAATAAAGCATAGAGAAAATAGAGGATAGAATCTGTTCAACATACTGTAATTATCAGTCGAAGAGTTACCATTTGCATGTGATACTAATTGAACACTTAACGATAATGATACCAGCGAATCGACTGAACACTCATCGATATCCATGCTCTGCATGATCTAAAGAAAACAAAACAGGCACTTCTCCCAGATACTGTTGAAATGAAAAGCTTTTATTATTGAAATCGTTTGAATTAGTTTCGAGAAACAATAGTCTTTCAGTTATTCATATTTCGTGACGTTGATTAAAAGTATTGTCATTTATACCGGTACAGTTTTTGGTTTTACTCATGTCAGTAACCGACCTTCTCTGTTTTTATTTTGTAGAAGCAATAACAACAAATAAAATGTTTCAGTCAATTTGCTTCTTTTTTATTCCAATAGTGAAATTAAATTTATTGTACCCCTGTTTTTTTTACTCCTAGTAAAACAAAAAACTGAATCTAATGAAATATTCTGTACAAACACAAAATAAATAAGCTATAATACAGAGTGCAGTTAAAAGAACAATAAAATCGACTGGAACTCTGGCGATTAACCAAACTAGTTTAAATACAGTTTCAGTAAAAAATTGAATAAAATTATAATTTACAAATTATGTTTTATGAAAATACAAGGTAAATCGTAAAAAATAAAAACAAAAACTAATTTTTTTAAAAATCGCAACCTTTGACTGCTGTATACGTTTTACGTGTACATTGAAAAACAACAATAACAAGAGTAGAAGAAAAAGGATCTACCTCTTTTTTAACGCTGTCTTTGCCGCTGCACGTTGTGGTCGATGTGCTGTTAGTTCTTTAACTGAAGCCACTGTAGTTCCGTTTTCGCCGTCATTTTGTATCAAACCTTCTATTAATGCTGATGACTGCGATTTTCTTAATCGTTTGGGTTGATCTGGATTCTTTGATAGTAGAGCACGTTTCTTTTTCTATCATGAGGATAAGTGTCCACGGCTAGAAAGAAAGAAACAGTTTTACTGGTGTGAGTGTTGTGAGAACAAGAATTTTCTAGGCAGGAGAAAAGGTAAAACGGCATCCACGTGTGTAAAAAAAAGGAAAAAGCACCTTCATCCGTCAATGACGACGCTAGACGTTGATCTTCTCGTAGTAGCCATTTATCAACAGCAATTGTAAATAAATTAGAATACGGCTCATTGCCAAGAATGTCAACAGCTGACTTTGACAGCAACAATCTAGATTTTGTTGCAATATTCATACAAGTTTGCAAATAATCGTCTAGTTTAATCATATATTTGGACAATGGCAAACTAACTTCGGTTTTATCGACTAAACGTGAACTTTTTGGTACTTGTTTGATGTAGCCAAGTTCAAAACTTAGTTTTCCAGTTGTTTTTGATCGTGATACAAAGCAATCGTCTAATTTGAATAATAATTTTTCATTAATTAATTGATCGATCGCTTTATCTCGTACAATTACATCGCAATGAGTTGAAAGCGCAATCAAATCCGACTTGGTCGAAACGACCGATTTACTGCACAATAAAATAGCTCTTTTAACTTTTTTAATTTTTTCTAATGTTTTTCGTTCATCTGATGTGATTATATAAAACGGTGCAGCTGAAAAGGAACAAACACCTTTTTCTTCTTTATTAAATGAGTCATTCGGAATATCTACCTACGATCTTTCAATGTCAGGTATGGAAGAAAAACAGCGTACTATTAGTAGAAGAACTAAACGGTTTTCTTTAACTATTTTCAGCTTACTTGCTGTCTTTCCTTCTTTTCCCACTTCATCGTCTTCGATAGCACGCTGCTCTTCTTGATCAAGTTGTGCGGCAGGCATTACTGAAACTACATCAACAGAAATATATGAGTCACTCGCTTGATTCGCTGTTTTGGTTTTTTCACTTGAATTCAGCGCATCGTACGTTAACATTTGAATGACTAAAAGAGAATGAAAAGAAAGCAGTCGTCGAAAGAAAGGAAAGAAGGGTATAAATGAATGGCGTACCTGTTGATGTACTTTCATTAGTCAAATATTCTGGCGTTCTTTCTTGCTGATCATCCGTTTTTTCATTGGAATCAGTATTTTCTAAAGTGAAAAATTTCAGTTATTTTTATTTTACTTTACTGTCTTGCAGTGTGTGTGCCTTTATTTTGTTGATTAATTATCACAAATTGAGTAGTAACACTATTATCATCGTTGCCACTTGTTGCTTCCATTGAAACTAGAAAAATAAATTTCCAGTAGAAGTACGCAAGACGTAGAGACATACACACGTAATGTGAAAGTGCCGCTAAAGCGTATAAAATTTCCCTTTGTCTCAAAAATACCTGAGTAATTTGACTTGTCCTCCACTGCTGGTACTTCCATTTGTCTTTGCGTTGCTACAAAAAAGCAAATCATAACGAAAGATGACTAACGAAGTGGTTTTGAATGACATCTTTGTGCAAAAAAGAAATTTAAATACCCTTTAGCTGCATATATCGTTTAAAAATTTTTTGTGCTTGATTTAGTGGCTTTCGTTTTATGACACGTTTATTCGCAGGCATGTGAAGGACTAAAAGAAAAGGAAACAAGGCAACAGGACCTCGAAGTTTCTGGAAATTCAAGACATACGTGAGCTTAGACGTGTGCTTGATGTAGGAACACTTTGACTCTGATTGTTATTATTCAAATTATCGCCGGCTCTTGACGGAACTAGAGAGAAGGAATAGAATACTAAAAAGTGAGGAAAAGAGCTATGGGGAAAACGAACAGTCACTTGTCTGTTTATTGTCAAGATTCGTTTTGTAATTAGTCAATTTTATTGTAGCGGAATTTTGTAGAGTCGCTATTTTCGTGTTATTTAAGACTTCTGCTGTAATAATAAAGAGAAACAGGTTACTTTTGAATATTGTTAAATTCAGGTAATTATGCACACAAACGCTTTCCCTTAGAGTAAGAGAATGATATCAGACAGACCCAAACTATCAAATAAAGGCGAATGGAGAAACAAAGCAGCATCCTTCTACCACCAGAACGGCATATCAGCCTCTGTTTTTATACAGCAAAGTGTAAAACTTTCTTCTACTTACACAAATAATTTGGGAATAGATCATGTTGGATTCCGCTGCTTTGAGCTAGATCGGACAAACCACTGACTGAATTTTCATTTGTTGTTGTTGTCGTATCCAACAGTTTCATTACGTCGGCAAAAAGCGAGGAAGTACTTTTCTTACTGATGGCAGCAGCGACTGTTGTTGTTATTTGTTTACTATTTGATTGTTGTTTGTCTAATAGAAAATCTTGGTTTTCGCCGACGTATTTTTCCCAATCATCTCTATACTCCGGATTTAATTCCAAAAACTGTTGCAGTTCAAGCGAAAGTGACGTATTTGTTGGTATTTGGTATAACGAATACAATGTTTCATATGCGTCACTTGATATACCGTATTTTTCCAATTTTTCTCGAAATTTTTTATGTTCTTCTGGTTTTGTTATCGGATCCGGCAGTTTTAGTTTCATCCATGAAATCATGCTTTTTCCGCGTCCATCGACCAAAAATTTTCCTTCTTTTAACAAACCATCGGTAACCAATTGCTCAATATATTCGTTAATTAGATGTTTTCCAGCATGCTTGAATAAAGACTTGATTTGCTTTTCCTTATCTGTTACTTGTAGCGTGGTACGTGCAAAAATGTTCACGGGTAACTGAAGGATTTTCGAGGTTGGTTGCTCTCTCAATTTCTCGTTTTGGTTCACGATATTACCAACACTGATGGGATCGAAACTGAAAAGTTGTACTGATTGTTCAAAAAGATGTTGATAAATTTTCCAAGCTTTGATACATCTTTGTTTAGTGATCAGTAAAACTGGCATTTGTTCATCGTTGCGTATGGCTTTCGACGTGAATAATTTCTCTACTGAACTTTGAGCTTTCATGATAAAATCGGGAATGATTCTTTTGCTTTTCGAGAAACCATCATCAAAATTAATAGCCGCGTCATCGGCTAAAACGCCCAAATAATTGAACTAGATTACGTTGAAATGCAGCTGAGTTGTATTAAGATAGAGTAACTGTACGATTTCCTAGATATTACACTCAACGCAGGAATGGAACGGAAGAATGAACACAGAACTCACTAGCATAAACATTGGCTCTATTTTGATCGTTGTCAGATTCATTTTGTTAAAAATGGTATTCAATATCGCCGAAACAATTAATGACATAGAACAAATGCGTTAACGACGCAATATTCTGTTTGAACAAAATGTTTTTTTAATTCTTGCGGGCAAATCGGTGGTATGGCTGAGTACGAGAAATAGACGAAACGATTGTAAACGCCTAAACGAAATGAGACGCAAATACTAAAACACCGTGCTAGAAAAGCAGCCGTAACTTCGAAGCCGCTTCCAGAATTCTCAAATTCTCAATATTCCCAACTTCACACTATATAGCAAAATTCCCGAATTGCAAAATTTTGAACTTGAAGAATTGTCATTCTCAATATTGCTAATATTCTACACTTCACAGTATACAGCGAAATTCTTGAATTGCAAAATTTCAGATTTGCAGAATTCTCACACTCTCAAACTCTCAATATTCTCAAGCTCACAGTATACAGGAAAATTCTCGATTTTGAAAATTTTGAACTTCCAGAATTCCCAAACTCTCTAATTTTCAATATTGTCAACTTCACAGTATAGAGGAAAATGGTCTATTTGCAAAATTCTTAATTTGCAGAATTCTCAATTTCTCTAATTCTCAATACTGTCAACTCCACAGTATATAGCAAAATTGTCGATTTACAAAACTTTGAATTTCCAACATTCTCAAACTCTCCAATTCTCAATGTTGTTAATATTCTCAACTTGACAGTATACGGGAAAATTCTCGATTTGCATTCTCGATTGCAATTTTGAACTTCCTGAATTCTCAAATGCTCAAATTCTCAATATTCTCAACCTCACAGTATACGGCAAAATTGTCGATTTCAAAAATTATGAACTTGAAGAATTTTCAAATTCTCAATACTGTCAACTTCACAGTATAGAGGAAAATGGTCGATTTGCACAATTCTGAATTTGCAGAATTCTCAGATTCTCAAATTGACAGTATACAGCAAAATTCTCCATTTACAAAATTTTGAATTTGCAGAATTCAGAAATTCTGAAATTCTGAAATTCTCTAATTCTTAATAATCTCAACTTCACGGTACACAGCGCAATTCTTGAATTGCAAAATGCCAGATTTGCAGAATTCACAAATTCCCAATATTGTCAATATTCTCAACTTCCCAGTATACAGCGAAATCGTTGAGTTGGAACATTTCAGATTTGCAGAAATCCCAAATTCTCAAATTCTCAATACTGTCAACTTCACAGTATAGAGGAAAATGGTGTGCAAAATTCGGAATTTCCCGAATTCTCAATATTCTCAACTTTACAGTATACCGCGAAATTTTTGAAGTGCAACATGTCAGCTTTGCTGTACTGTCAATACTGTCAATCTCACAGTCTAGAGTAACATGGTCGATTTCCAAAATTCGGAATTTGCAGAATTCTCAAAGTCTCAAATTCACAATATTGATAATATTTTCAACTTCGCAGTATACCGCGAAATTCTTGAGTTGCAAAATGTCAGATTTGCAGAATTCACAAATTCTCAAATTCTCAATATTCTCAACTTCACAGCATACAGCGAAATTCTCGAACTGCAAAAGTTTAAATTTTCAGAATTGTCAAATTCTCAATATTCTGAACCTCACAGTGTACGGCAAAATTGTCGATTTGCAGAATTATGAACAATACTGTCAACTCAATACTGTCAACTTCACAATATAGAGGAAAATGATCCATTTGCAAAATACTGAATTTGCGGAATGCTCAGATTCTCAAATTCTCAATATTCTCCAATTGACAGTATACAGCAAAATTCTCGATTTACAAAATTTTGAATTTCCAGAACTCTCAAATTCCGCAATTCTGAAATTCTGAAATTCTCTAATTCTCAATAATCTCAACTTCACGGTACACAGCGCAATTCTTGAATTGCAAAATGCCAGATTTTCAGAATTCTCAAATTCTCATATTCTCAATATTCTCAATATGCTGAACTTCACAGTATACACCGAAATTTTTGAACTGCAAAATTTCAGATTTGCAAGATTTTCAGATTCCCAAATTCTCAAATTCTCAATTTTCTCAACTTCACCGTATACAGCGAAATTTTTGAAGTGCAAAATGTCTGAATTTGCAGAATTCTCAAATTCTCAAATTGTCAATATTCTCAACCTCACAGCATAGAGGAAAACTCTCGATTTGCAGAAAATTGAATTTCCAGAATTCTCAAAATTCTCAAATTCTCAATATTCTCAAATTGACAGTATACAGCAAAATTCTCGATTTCCAAAATTTTGAATTTTGAATCTCAAATTCTCAATATTGTTAATGTTCTCAAGTTCACGGTATACAGCGCAATTCTTGAATTGCAAAATTTCAGATTTGCAGAATTCTCAGATTATCAATATTCTCAGCTTCACAGTATACAGCAAATTTGTCGATTTACAAAATTTTGAATTTACAGAATTCTGAAATTCTGAAATTCTCAATATTTTGAACTTCGCAGTATACAGGAAACTAGTCGACTTAAAAAATTTTGAATTTGCTGAATTCTCAAAATTCTTAAATTCTCAATATTCTCAACTTCACAGTATACAGGAAACTTGTCGATTTACAAAATTTTGAATTTGCAGAATTCTCAAATTCTCAAATTGTCAATATTCTCAAGTTCACAATATACAGGAAAATGGTGGAATTTCAAAATTTCCTGTATTCTGCGAAGTTGAGAATATTGACAATTTAAGAATTTTGAGAATTCTGCAAATTCAAAATTTTGTAAATCGACAAATTTGCTGTATACTGTGAAGCTGAGAATATTGACAATATTGGGAATTTGTGAATTCTGCAAATCTGGCATTTTGCAATTCAAGAATTGCGCTGTGTACCGTGAAGTTGAGATTATTAAGAATTAGAGAATTTCAGAATTTCTGCAAATTCAAAATTTTGTAAATCGACAAATTTGCTGTATACTGTGAAGCTGAGAATATTGATAATCTGAGCATTCTGCAAATCTGAAATTTTGCAATTCAAGAATTGCGCTGTATACCGTGAACTGCAGAATATTAACAATATTGAGAATTTGAGAATTCTGCAGACTCAAAATTATGTAAATCGAAAATTTTGCTGTATGCTGTCAATTTGAGAATATTGAGAATTCTGTGAATTCGAAATTATGCAATTCCACCATTTTCCTGTATATTGGGAAGTTGAGAATATTGACAATTTGAGAATTTGAGAATTCTGCAAATTCAAAATTTGTAAATCGAGAATTTTCCTGTATACTGTGAGATAGAGAATACTGACAATTTGAGAAGTGGTGAGTTTGAGAGTTCTTTAAATTCGAAATTTTGTAAATCGACAAATTTGCTGTATACTGTGAAGTTGATAATATTGAAAATTAGAGAATTTGAGAATTGTGCAAATTCAGAATTTTGCAAATGGACCATTTTGCTGCATACTCTTAAGTTGAGAATATTGAGAATCTGAAAATTCCACAGGATGCAGAATTTGCGTTTGCGGCAAATTGTTCTCTAAGAGAATGTGCACAATTTGCCGCAAACTAAAAAACCTTAAGTGATAAAACTACAAAGTAGAAAAGCAAGTAAGGAAGCAGGAAAGAAAGAGAGAAGAAAAGTAGGAAAGC